AAAAGATGAATCAGCCATGCATATCCCACGTGACTGTGAGACTGTAGATTACGTAAGATTTCGTCATAGAACCATGTGACTACCAAGACGCCCCTTAAATAAGTTACTACAATTCGTACGAAGTGTAATAAGATTGTTGATGAGCTAAACAGGGAGGGGGTGGTGGGTGGGAAATGCACAATAGATCTCTGACGGTCACGGTGCAAGGACCGGCCAAGTACCACTCCCCATACATTCACTCTCATTGGGTGTAAAACAACACAAAATCTGTTTTAGCATATTTTGCTGAACGCAAATAGTTAACCCAAGATAGTACTCCTCATTCGGACGTGAAATGGACGCGCACTGTGCAGGAGCCAATGAGGACAGCGTGATCACGTGTGGGTGAACCTGAACTGATATCTCACAAGTCATTGCCTACATCCCTCTTGACAACGCCGTTGCGTGCGGTTTCTAGAGACGTAAGTTATGGAACGTAAACGCATATGGAAGAGGTTATTGTTGTCAATGCGCATGTCCTAACCGAACCCACTTAACGTAACGTCTGTTCGTATCGGGTTCAACCTAACCCATATTTCACACGGAATTCGTAAAAACGCCTAACCAAAAATATCTACAAATTCTTGAAATAATTGTATATTGCTGCATAATAAAAGAAGGCATATGCAGAAAAACGGATAATCAGAAGTTAGGTTCCATTTAAAAAAGAAAGCCCAGAAGCGGCTTGGTTCGCCTGTGTTGTTTCAGCGGCCCTCACCTGCAGAAACAGTCTAAACAGAGTTGCCCCTTGCCGCCACGAAGGGGTGTAAATGAAGCAATGCGTGGGCGGACAGATCGGGTCCGTCTCTCGATTCCACGGATCCGTCGTTCACTTCTATGTCTACCGGTCTCGTTAAAAGTTCCGTTAAAAGTTCTACTGCTCTTTGTTCATCGGTCAGTCTTCTTAGGGGCCCTGCCATTCCTACGAGTTCACGAATACCACGAATCTTTCCCGTTTCTCTGTCTGTCTTCGGGCCTTTACTCTTCTTACCAGTCGGCGGAACACACGGATCTATCTTGTTCATCAGTATGTCCTCAGGTCTCTACCATTCTTACCAGTTCGCGGATCCCACGGATCTATCTTGATCACCAGTATGTCTTTAGGTCTTTACCATTCTTACCAGTTCGTGGATCCCACGGATCTATCTTGTTCATCAGTATGTCTTCAGGTCTCTACCATTCTTACCAGTCCTCTGATCCCACGGATCTATCTTGTTCATCAGTATGTCTTCAGGTCTTTACCATTCTTACCAGTCCTCTGATCCCACGGATCTCTCTTGTTCATCAGTATGTCTTCAGGTCTTTACCATTCTTACCAGTCCTCTGATCCCACGGATCTATCTTGTTCATCAGTATGTCTTCAGGTCTCTACCATTCTTACCAGCCCGCGGAACACAAGGATCTATCTTGTTTACCAGTATGTCTTCAGGTCTCTACCATTCTTACCAGTCCTCGGATCCCACGGATATGTCTTCGGGTCTTTACTCTTCTTACCAGTTCACGGATCCCATATATCTGTTTCTTTAACCAATAGGTCTTCGCGTCTATACCATTCTTACCAGTCCATGGATCCCACGAATTTTACTCGTTCACGTGTCAGGGACTACCATTCCCACCAGTCCACGGATTTCAAGTTTCTGTCTATTTTTCCAGCTCCCAGTTAATCAACAGATCTTGTGTCGTTAACACGCCGGTATTGTTTATCAGCTTCAGGATTAAGTAACAATCCTGACCTTGACAGTCTAAATCATGTACGACTCTACTCTTAAATTTATGTTACATAGAAAAGATTAATAGATTATAATCATATCGGTGTAAATTTTGCATATACCCCTGCGTTTGTATAAGTAATAATAAAAATAATAATGACATTTAAATAACCTAATCTGTAATGACATGAAAACCTGGGCCCGCATAGAATGAATGGGTCACCAGCGGGACCTGTAATGAATGAACCAGATCTGTCTTCTCATCTCTAGCAAGAAAACCGAGCGATGCCGTCGGAGATTTGGAAGGACAGAATTTCAGACAGACAGCCTTGTCTTCCTTGCTGGGTCTGTTGGATGCGAAGAACGCATAATGTTGTCAGGTTGAGCAGACGCTATCTTGTGCTACATTAACGCACAGTTACAGCACAATGGAAATTCTGTCCCAGTTCAGCGTCTGCACTACTTTCTGTCGCGAATGAGGCTCTATCTCACTCAAGGCTGGGACAGTGAACCGCTGTCGGCAGCAAACACGAAAATCGTGTGAGACGGCACCTACTGTTGGCCCAGCTTCATTACGTGGACTCTTATTGCATCACGTCCTCACACATTATTATATATAATTACGGCTTCCAGATGTGGAAGGTAACTGTGAATATACTTAATAAGCAGTAGCGGATTGCTGACAAGGGGTTATCCTCCAGCTTGAGGGTTAAGCGTGGGGCTACAACTCCTTACAGTAAAATGTAAGCTTGTTAACAAATGTTACGAAGGCCTCGGACTTCGACGGATTCTTTGGATAAACAACCTAAGGCCAGGTATAATTAGAATGATCAAGTCAAGGACGATCAAATGGGCAGGGAATGTAGCACGAATGGGGGAGAAGAGGAATGTGTATATGATATTGAATAAATGAATGTATGAGGGTTAGGCCTTCTCGGCCCTTGCACCGCGACCTACAGTGGTCTATTGTGCTTTGTATATATGATATTGGTAGGAAAGCCAGAATGAAAGAGACCCCTAGGAAGACCAAGACGTAGGTGAGCACATAATATTAAAATGGGTCTTAGAAAGGTAGGCTGAAGTGGTGAGGACTGAATTGATCTGGCTCACGATAGGAACTAGTGTTGGGCTCTTGTGAACACGGTAATGAACCTTCGGGTTCCATAAGATGTTGGGAAATTCTTGAGTAGCTGAACAACTGGCGGCTCCTCAAGAAGGGCTTCGCTTCATGGAGTTAGTTATTTACTTTATGAGAATGGTGTTCAATCTTGCGGGATTCAAGGGTCGAGAAAGTAGGAGTGAATTTTTTTATGAACGTGCCCAGAGCCATCTTCACGCATTGGATGTAACCAGCGGCTAAGCGACTTGGAATACCGGAAACCGCGCTGCTGAAAATACGCGTGTCTACGTGCGGTATTATTACAGACACCTGCCATATAAACCCGAACCCAAGGCGAACCCCTGCCTTTCAAACGAAAAACCCAGAAAGCAACATTTTTTGACAGAAAGGAACATGTCAGTTCTGAGGTCTGTAAAAAAAAAAAAAAGTAGATATTGAAGTTCTCACAGCTGTGGTTATGAAGAGTTCTGTCATCTGGCATATAACACAGTGTAGGCAACTGAAAGTCAAAGGACGTTTCGTAAGATCATGTCGCCTCCATTTTCAGGGTTGAAGATTGAGCAACCAGAGCTCTGCTTGCTACCTGTTTCCCGCTGGGTTGTTGCTTAATATATTTTTCTGCCCTGAAGATGGAGGCGACATATTCTTCTGAAACGTCGCGTGACTTTCAACGGACTACACAGCGTTATATCCCAGACGATAGACATCTTCAAAAGTAAAGAAGTTCGTATTTACCGTTAAACCCCAGAAAATAAGGAGACCAGTCTTTTCTAAGAAGCAATATCTGGTAAAAAAAATCTCTTTTTTTCGGGCTAATGCAATCACTTGTTTCGTGATTCAAAGATCTGTCGAGTGTGAGATGGTTGCAAGTGAACATTGGTTATTCATATATCCCGAATAATTTCTTGGAAAGCAAAATGGAATTAAATAAAATAACAAACGACGTCCGGAACTGAAGATAGAGGCAGTATGACCCAGAATACCATAATATGAATCGTCATCACCATAAAAGCCTTAAATCTCTCGAATCCATATTGTCAATGGTGTGAGGCTTTCTTCATGGCACTGTTAGTATCTCAGGTTATGTAGCGTGGAATGGTAGGGCTATCTGTGAATAATGAACTGAAAAGAATTTGGAAGGAAGCGATTTTGATCTAGCAGCGGGTACTATTCCGGAAATTTCATGAAGGGATTGAAGAAAACCATGAAAACCTCAGTCAGTGTAGCCGGTTTCAGAGCCGAGGTCTCAATATGATTCCCCATGAGTAAAAATCTAAAGCCTTACCGCTACATTAACCTGCTGCGTGTGAAAATTCTTTGAATTTTATCTCAACTATTCATTTTGTACAGATGAACGATATGAAATAAACCCGAAACCTCAAGTAGCGACGACTGAACACTACCGCATCACGGACCACGGTACACCAGATGTGTACCATCACAAGTCCAGAACGGTTGCGTCTCTTAAGGTCAATTTAACGGAATTTGCGCAACAAATTACACCTAGGTGCAACCTTAATTTTCAATGACTTGCGACCGGAATTACTGATGTGTTTTCTATTGTATAAGTGAGGCGACTTGCGCATTAAGTGTGCTACAGATGGTGTTCGGCGCAAGAAAGTCCATAAAATTAAAGCACAATGGAGAGATCGTGGTCACTTTGTACACCCCACACTTCTTTCTATTCTTTCATGTTTTCTTTACATTTCTACCATCGTCAACAACACCGCCATGGCGACGGCGTGAATGCTCTTGGTCGCAATTGCTCTAGAGCAGTGATTCTCTAAGTGGGCTGTACAGCCCCCTGGAGGCTGCTGTGGGAATACCTAGAGGGTCGCCGAAGTTTGGGCCATGTTGTTAGCTCATTTACGATGGAACTGACTAGACCAGACATCGGGAAACTAGTATCACTTCATCAGGCCCATCTATCGCATTAAGTATGTACTAACAGTGAAACAGTTACTAAGTGTGATTTCTTGTTTTATTGTTATTACCTTCCTTAGTGGGTTGTGCAAACTGCTGTTCTAAACAGTGTTTTTATAGGGTAGTTCAGAGGGAACTGTGGATGAGTTTATGGCCCGAATGCGTATGTTCGGGAACCACGGCACTAAAGTCTTTTCCTTGTGCCACAGCTGGAGTCATTGGACGCGCGGGAGCTGAACAACACTCGACACGCGGGTATCGAAGTCGTGTTCTTCAACCGGGTGCCCAAGGTGGGCAGCCAGACCTTCATGGAGCTCTTGAGGAGACTATCCATGAAGAATATATTCGGTTTCCATCGTGATCACATCCAGAGAGTCGAGACTATTCGCCTGGCGCCTAGCGACCAGGTTAGTGAGCTGTAGGCTGGCTGACTAGCCAACCGACCGTGTGATTAGATGACTGAAAATGGCGGACTGACTCGTTACACAATCGATTAAATGATCGACTGGAAACTAATTGACATAGTGACAGACTGAGTAAGGAGGTAGGTAAATAATTATCTTAGAAGCTAAATAACTAATTGAATGACATATTAATAACTAATGTACTAGTATACTGATGTTTATTATCACAGAACAGTCAATTACAACACAAGTGGATCTTCATATTAAATATCTCTGCGGTCTATTCAACACTTAAACTATACAGCGTTTTATAAGAATTGTTGAAATACATACAGGAGACTTAATATGCGTTGTTAAGCAGAATAGATCACTGTAGGTCCCGGTGCAAGGGCCGAGAAGGCCCACCCCTTGTACATCCATTCATTCATTTGTAACGTAGAATGTTATTTTATAAGTAGCACTGTTTTATGAGAATTTTTAAAACGTTAAAATTATGTACAATCGTGAGTAATAACCTGGGTTATTTGCTTTTGTATTACCATGCATGTGCCCTTGAGAATGACATTGTGAGTGTGGAAACATATCGAGGCAATCATTAATTTAATCTGATTTCAAGAACTTATGGTGTAATACTCTTAGACTCTACTGTGATAATAAACGACGATATGAATTACAACGGCGTACATTATAACAAAACTAATATGCTAATTAAGTAACTACAACGCAACTAATGGCCAAAAAGCAAGCAAACTAACAAACTAACCCACCAACCCACTCACTGCATCATGAAGTTCCATTGCCTTATTACAACAGCTCTTCAATGTTTCGTCTCTGCGTCCGCTTAAATCAGTTCACATTTTCGTGCCCTAGTTTAAGATCTATTTTAATATTATCCCCTCATCTGTGCTCACATTGGTAAATGGCCTCATGCTGTTTTCTTTTTTATGTGTGAGCCTTCTTCACTTAATCACCTGCTATTTCCGTTTTATTGGCAGCTGAACCTCGCGACCCACGTCATCAGCTACAAACCGCCTGCCGTGTATGTTAAACACGTGTGTTTCACCAACTTCACACAGTAAGTATTACCGCCACTGCGCAAGTACAATATGAAGAGCCAGTAGACATGCAAAATTTTCGCCATCTTCAGAAGTGTCAATAGACTTTCGATTACGGCGCAGTTGTCAATGCATACGTAGGAGCCGTGCACACAACAGTGACTTGACAAAATTAAAGCAGACATATACTATACCTCTACATGGTCCGATCTCGATACATCATAAGATGGTTTAAAAATAATTAGGTTTTTTTTTCCCTTGGCACTACAGCCCCAGTGGGCCTAGGCCTACCTCCATGAACCTCTCCGTTCACTTCGGTTTTTCTAGATCTTACACAATCGGTAGGACTCCTTGGGCGGGTGATCAGCTCGTCTCAAGGCCTCTACCTGTACACAAATACAGAAAAACGCACACACACAAACTAAATATCCATGCCCTTAGTGGGATTCGAACATACGATCCCGGATCCAAAGCGAACGAAGACAGTACATGCCTTAGACCGCTCGGCTACCGTGACCGGTAATTAGGTATTTTTTTTTCCTTGGCACTACAGCCCCAGTGGGCCTAGGCTTACTTCCATGAACTTCTCCGTTCACTTCGGTTTTTCTAGATCTTACACATTCTGTAGGACTCCTTGGGCGGGTGATCAGCTCGTCGCAAGACCTCTACCTGTACACAAACACAGAAAAACGCACACACACAAACTAAACATCCATGCCCTGAGTGGGATTCGAACCCACGATCCCGGCTTCCGAGCGAGCAAAGACAGTGCACGCCTTAGACCGCTCGGCCACCGTGACCGGCCAGTTAGGTACTTACAGTCACTTAATTTCAAATTAATATCGAAGAAATTAATATCTATAAAATGCATCGATTTATTTCGAATCCACCTAATGATATTTTTATTTAGGCCGAAACATGTAGTGGTGTAGTATAACCACAACAAATTAACCCTGACAGAGTTGCCTGTTTTGGTTTTATTGTCAAGTCACGGTTGTGTGGAAGGCCAGTATATACCGTGATTCTTTAAAAAGAGGACGAAAAGAATGAAAAAAGAGAAGTATTTTCGCATATTCATCTTCGCCTTTCCTTCAGCAGTTGGCCTATACAATACAGGAACACAGGCAAATTAAAAACTCCATAAACTCTCGGTCACTAGCCGATATAAAATTTTCATTAGAAGAGCAAGAAATAAATTTGGTGTTTCTATTGTGTACTGTAACGCGTATAGTAAGAAGTGAAGCTATCATTGTGAGAGGCCGGGGAGGCCCTTGAGACTGTGAGACGCCGAGGCTCTCACATTTTCTTTAGACAATCGACTCACAGATAGCGGTGTGTTTGTCAGCCTTACGCGCCGGCGAGTAGAATAAGTTAAGGATATGACTAGCACAAATTCATTACGTGAAATTAACTTCTGTTTACATGTGAAAATGATTATTTCGTTTATATACAATTAAATTATCATTTGGGTGCTGAAATTATTCCATATAAGATCATGAGCTCTGTTCTTCACAAGGACGCAGTCATGACACTAGCCAGAGCAAACCTAATTTCTCTGTTAATAGTCCTCCAGTGCAATGTATTCTGTAGTCTTTATGATTATGATTATTATNTACAGCTACAACAAATACAATCACAACTACAATTAAATAAATTAATATTAAAAAAAAATTAGTATACTATACACTAAAGAGTAACAGTCATGAAATAGGTAATGTCATGATCTGATGCACCCACATTTCGCCATGACCTTCACTTCATTCCACTTCACTACACTTACGCACCCTTCATATCCTCACCACACTTCACTTCACTGCATTTCTGGATGGTTTCTCTCACACCTTCACGTCGCCTTTTTCTTGAAGAGCCACGAATAGTTAGCTCTAGCTATTGGCAGATGGTGACACAGGGCTCTTCCACGTATATTCTAAAACACCAAATACATCCAGACCAGTAGAGGCATTGATACTAAGCAAGCCGGCGTGGAAATGAACCAATGACCCGCGCTCACATATCAGATATTTGAAGTGACGCCATTTTTTGCACCAGGTACGGATTGCCAGAGCCTATTTACGTAAATCTGGTACGTGACCCTGTCGAGAGGGTCATATCCTGGTACTACTATGTTCGGGCGCCCTGGTACTACGTGGAACGGAAACAGGCCTTCCCAGATATCCCACTGCCAGACCCTTACTGGCTGAAGAAGGTGAGTTCATTCCTTGAATAGCTTATATGTCATCTGAACTCTTAAAGTATGGTCAGCATTAAGAAGGTAAAACAGGTCTTGTTGGCCTTATTGCTCCCAATGGCATGCCAAAAGAAGAGAAAACATTTCCTTCTCTCTTTTCCGACATTGAGCTGCAATGTAGTTGCATCTCTCCCTTAAGGACATACGTAAAACAATTCACAGTTTAGATCTATTCAATAAGTCAAAAAGTTTACAATAAAATAGAAAAAACTCTGTGGCTTTAGTCCGCAAGCGAACTATACTGACCGAGCGCCCGCCGCTTGCCGGCGAAGTTAGTGCCAACTTTAGCTGATAGAGGGTGTCACGTGGTCAGCGCAACGAATCCCTATGGCCGTTAATTTCGGTTTTCTAGACCGGAAAGATTTACAATAACTTTAATAAAAATTTTTTCCTCATTATAAGAATTATTTCGCTGAACGTGAAGTAAGGTAAACCGTTGGGGCGAGTTGAAGTATAGCTCTACCATTGTTACTTAATCTTGGCGCTAGGTGGAGGTGAGTGATTAGCTCCACGCTTCTTCCACTTTAGCCCCGCGCAAAGAGTCCGCGGTGCCCATTGGACACGAGGCTGCGTGGGCCTCAGATCCGGTCTGGACGCTGTGGAGGAAAAATAATCTCTTTCCCCTGCCGGGAATTGAACCTCAGTTTCTCTGTCGTCCAGTAGGTATCTCGTTTTTTACCGGTACTGGACGTAACTCCATCCAACGTGAATGCCACGTGAAGTCCCATGGTGCTCGTGGTCAGTGTAGGGTGATCCATGAATTAGCTGAGACGCTAACCAATTGTTGCCAGTAAAACCGGATGGAATCTTACCCATTAGGACGCAGAAACCCAGGCCCATTTGTTTTACACACGAGTTGCTCTGTCGCATTGCATGAGTCATGTCACAGCGCGTGCCTTTACAGCAGGGGTCTCCAAACTTTTCGAACGGCGGGCCACATTAGGTAATTCAGCACTTTCAACGGGCCGGATAAAATGAGAAATTAATAACTCTAGGTATATAAGTTTTATTGAAAGCACAGAATTTCATAAACTAAATACAAAGTACGTGAGAATAAATTATCGTATATTAATGACAACAGACAGTAGCAGAAAATGCTCATATTTTCATCACAAATTATAATAAAACAATTAATGTGAATGTTGGAACTCTTTTTGCATTCTTAAAATCTGATTAAATTGAGGTTCAAAGTTTGAAACACTAAGCACAAGTAGCGACTTTAAATGTTCATCGGATAAATTTGCCCTGTATTTCGACTTGATGTAGTTAATCTGGGAAAAAGTTTGTTCACACAGATATGTCGTCCCAAAAATGGAGATAAATTTACAAGCAAATTTATTTAAATTTGAAAATTGCTCAGAGTTCAGAAATTTATAAAATTCGATCAAATTTCTTTCCCTGTATTTGTCTTTAATATGATAATTTTCCTGAAGTTCAATAATTTCCATTTGAATTTGACTTGGGACATCTGCAGCATCACAGTCAAACGGATTTTGAAACAATCTAATTTCCTGAGCACTGGAATCCAAATCAGGAATTCGCTTCCGAAATTGTTCCTTCAAATCTGAAATGACTAAATTTGCAAACGAGGAAGGTAATTCTGCTTCACCCTTTTTATGCAACTCTGCACAGTATAGCATATGAACAAAGTTACAATTTTTCACTTGGCTTTCCAGGAGTATGAAATTTGCTCTGAATGCCTTGGTAAGTGCAAATAAATCATAAACTAAGTTATTTTCACCCTGCAACTTTAAATTCAAATGGTTCATATAGTTCACCAGATCAGCAAAAAATGTTAATTTCCAAAGCCACTCGGTATCTAATAAAAGTGGTCCGTGATGGTTTTTCTCGGTAAAAAATATATCAATTTCATTCCTGAGCTGAAAGAAGCGCGAAATAACCTTCCCACAGCTAAGCCAGCGAACTGCAGCATAATATGTCAGGTCAGTAAGCTCGGAATCACATTTACCAGTACTCGTTGGAAAATTAGTTCAATTGGCGCATTTCAGCACAATTCTTTCGCGGGCCGGATAAAATCACATCGCGGGCCGCATATGGCCCGCGGGCCGTAGTTTGGAGACCCTAGCTTTACAGCATTCGACTCTAATCGGTTAGTGTGCCAGGAGCGCTAAGACAGTAAACAGGGGTGTGTTACTAATTTCTCCGTATTTACGTTGTCGCGTGGAGGTACGGTGTCTCTCTGTCACGAGGACTACAGCTGCGCGAGTTCTCGGAAACTCGACTCGGCACCAACTGAAATACTGTTACTCGTAAGAAATTATTAAAATACCGTATTGAGATGCATTCTGGAAGTCAAGTAAGTTGTATCTAAACTTACAACAATAATTACAAACCATTGTGACTAAGTAGCGCTCCCTGACAGCACGAACCACACATTCAAGGCTGAAGTAAGTTTAAATCCTACCCCAGGCGATGATAAATGCCGTCTTCCCTTCTTCATTACATACAGATAGACTTTATGGAAACCTGTCCACAGTTAATAACAGAAATGGCTCAGATATTGTGACAAAACATTCGTGTACTAATTCTTAAAATAGTATTTATATTGCTATATAATGATGTTTAGATTTCTTCCAATTAATGGAATATATACGAAACAAAGATCAGCAACAATTGATTTCCAGTTATCTAAAAGAAAGAAAAATGTTTATAAAATATGCTGTTCCTACAATCGGGCGCCCTAGTGGCCGTTTTGTTCTCCTGTTCTCTCGCACCGACCCTGAGTGCATTACTAATCTCGGCATTAGACAGTCATCAGTTGTCAGTTTCACGTTTACCTCTGGAGAATAAGAGTCAGTATCTATTGAAAACGGTGCTGGATAGACCCCAGAGTCATTTTGGATTAGGTGTTGAAGAGATAAGCTGTTGCTTCTGTCAATACCGCTGTCAGTATTGTTACTTACTGACTTACTTCTGAACTATTACTTGGCGATAATTCATAAAAGGTAAACGGTAAAACTGCCGGTCACGGTAGCCGAGCGGTCTAAGGCATGCATTGTCTTCGCTCGCTCGGAAGCCGGGATCGTGGGTTCGAATCCCACTCAGGACATGGATGTTTACTTTGTGTGTGTGCGTTTTTCTGTGTTTGTGTACAGGTAGAGGCCTTGTGACGAGCTGATCACCCGCCCAAGGAGTCCTGCCAAATGTGTAAGATCTAGAAAAACCGAAGTGAACGGAGAAGTTCATGGAGGTAAGCCTAGGCCTACTGGGGCTGTAGTGCCAAGGAAAAATACGGTAAAACTATCCCTGTAACAGGCCGTGGAGGTCCATAGGGTTGTGAGACGTCGAGACTCCCACATTTTCTAGACAATTGGGTCGTAGATGACACCCTTTACCTCCAGGAAGATTCTTGGTACTCATTTCCGTTAGAGACTGAGTCCACCACATGGCCATAATGCGGCTGTAAGCATTATGTCAATTGAAAAATCTAATGACCTCATTGTGAATCAAACCCGCAACCTTCCGGCTTGTAGCATAGTGCCTCAAATACTACCTTAACAAGACTAGTGAAGAAAAATATTACATAAATACAACAAATTAAAAACAAATAATGTTAGAAGAACAAGTCACTCAAAAAGTGATATATGCATATTTGTCGTCTGTTGCAGGACTTCGAGACGTGTGTGCTACAAGGGGACCGCGAGTGCAGATATTTGGAAGGGGAGTCACACGAGGGAATCGGAGATCATCGCCGACAGTCCCTTTTCTTCTGCGGCCACAGTGAATTTTGCACGTACGTAAAATAACAAGGAACCAGGACACCTCGCGATCCTGTTCAATTACCAATTATGTCATGTTCTGGATTAACGTCAAGAAACCTGAACTTACATCTCGTGTACAGGTCTCTGTTCCTCTGACACACATTCGGATGCTTGCCTTCTGGTTAATTAGTCGCCTACTTGAAAAAAAAAAGATGGCGACGCTTCACCTTAACAACGCGTTTCCAGCTGCACGTGTTACGTAACGGCGAGTGGCAAAGACGACTAAATGAAGAACCGGGAAGTATGTGACACGAAGTGGTTATGGTATATTTTCGGAGATATCTCAACATTTTCCAGGAGTGACTTGGGAGAACTGCGAAAATTACTATATCAGGTGGACCAAGACTCGAACTTCGTAATACGAAGTAGAAGTGCTAAGAACTGAAATGGGAGTTTTCGTGGAAAATATTAATTAATAATATTTACCGGTTTTGCACAAGCCTTGACCTTGTATTTCATTAAATATACATCACAACGAAAAGTCTTCAAATGAGTGTTTTAGATCTTAATAAGGCCGATCACAGTAGCCGTACGATTTAAGACATGTTATATCTTCGGCCAATCGAACAATGGGATCATGGGTTCGATTCCCATTTGAAGTGTGGATGTATATCTAGGTTCTTACTGTGTTCGTGCAGTATCTGTCAGTCTGCGAAGGGCTGGACCCTGTCCAAGAAATCTCACCTTCGTTCAGTATTTCAAAATTAAATTCTGAACTGGAACAGGCCAAAGGTCCTAACCCACAGAAACTGGAGAAGAGTAAGATTTTAGATATGTATTTCATGTTGTGCACCATTTCTGTACAGTGACAATTTTTGGAAGATAATCGAGGTTACGGATGGGGGAGACCCCCTCCAGTTTTGGAGGGAAGCTGTGAATATACTGACTAAGAAGTCGCGGACAGCCGACAAGGGGTGGCCCTCCAGCTTGGGGGCTGGGCGTGGGGCTAACAACTCCTCACCTTAAAAATTCATTATGTTACGAAAATGAACACAAAGCCTCGGACCTGGGCGGATTCCTTGGATAAACGACATAAGCTAATGAAAATAGATATGAGATTTGGCACTTGGAGTGTACGAAGTTTGTATAGGGCAGGTTCGCTCGGGGCAGTGGCAGAAGAAATCTTAAAATATAAGTTACATTTAGCGGGAGTAGAGGAGGTCAAATGGGACGGAGGTGGCATCTCACCAGCAGGAGACTACATTTTTCTATGGAAAGGGGAATGAAAATCATGAATTAGGTACAGGTTTTTTCATACATAAGAGAATCGTATCAGCAGTTAAGAGGGTAGAATTCGTTAGTGGTAGGATATCATATATAATACTAAAAGGTCGCTGGTGTGATATCATTGTTATGAATGTTCACGCCCCAACAGAAGATAAAACTGATGACATAAAGGACAGGTTCTATGAAGAACTAGAACAGGTATTTGATAAATTCCCTAAGTACCCTATGAAAATATTGTTAGGGGATATCAGTGCCAAAGTAGGGAGGGAAGACATTTCCAAACTAACAACTGGGAGTGAGAGTTTGCATGAAATTACTAATAACAATGGAGTTACTGTTGTAAACTTTGCCACATCAAAAAAATCTTACTGTCAAAAGTACAATGTTCCCACATCGTAACATCCATAAATTTACTTGGACATCTCCTGATGGGAAGATACACAATCAAATGGACCATATTTTGATATACAGGAGACGGCACTTTTTGAGGTTGAAAGTGCTATTGCAAAATTGAAACGGTATAAATCGCCAGATAGTGATCAGTTTCTGGCAGTACTTATTCAAGCAGGAGGCGAAATATTATGTTCTAAGATCCACAATCTAATTACTTCTATTTGGCATAAGGAAAAATTGCCTGATCAGTGGAAGGAGTTTATTATTGTACCAGTTCACAAGAAGGGTGATAAAACTGACTGTAGTAATTATCGGGGGATATCACTGCTATCAACTTCATATAAAATTTTGTTCAATATTCTTCTTTCAAAGTTAAATTCATATATAGATGAAATTATTGGGGATCATCAGTGTGGGTTTCGACATAACAGATCAGATCTTTTGCATTCGTCAGATATTGGAGAAAAATGGGAGTACGATGAGACAGCACATCAGCTATTCATAGACTTCAAGAAAGCCTATGATTCAGTTAGGAGGGAAGTATTGTATAATATTCTGATAGAGTTTTGGATACCCATGAAACTAATTAGGCTGATTAAAATGTGTTTAAACGAAACGTATAGTAAAGTCCGTGTAGGGAAACATTTGTCTGATAAATTTCCTATCCAGAATGGTCTAAAACAAGGAGATGCTTTATCGCAGCTCCTTTTCAACTTTGCCTTAGAATATGCAATTAGGAAGGTCCAGGGAAACCAGGTGGGACTGAAATTAAACGGGACACATCAGCTGTTGGTCTACGCCGATGATGTGAATCTACTGGGTGATAATGTAGATACCATAAAAAAACACATAAACTTTAACTGACGCAAGTGAAGAGTTTGGTCTAGAAGTGAACACAGAGAAAACTTAAGTATATGTTACTGTATCGTCACCAAAATGCAGGGCAGAATCATAACATAAAGACAGGAAAGAGATGTTTTGAAAATGTGGCACAGTTCAGATATTTGGGAACAACGATAACAGATCGAAACCTAACTCAGGAAGAAATTAAAGAGGCGATTGAACTCGGGTAATGCTTGCTACTTTTCTGTACAGAACCTTTTGTCTCCTCGTCTGTTGTCCAAAAACATAAATTTAGAATATACAAAACTATAATTTTGCCTGTGGTTCTCTATGGGTGTGAAACTTGGTCTCTGTCATTATGGGAGGAACATAGGAGTACACTGAGGGTGTTTGAGAACAGGGTGTTTAGGAGAATATTTGGACCGAAGAGAGATGAAGCGACAGGAGGTCGGAGAAAACTGCATAATGAGGAGCTTCATAACTTGTACTCTTCTCCAAGTAAAATTAGAATGATCAAGCCAAGGAGGATGAGGTGGGCAGGTCATGTATCACGAATGGGGGAGACGAGGAATGCGTATAGGATATTGGTGGGAAAGCCAGAAGGAAAGAGACCACAGTGAAGACCAATGTGTAGGTGGGTGGACAATGGACCTTAGAGAGATAGGATGGGATGGTATGGATTGGATAGATCTGGCTCAGGATAGGGACCGGTGGAGGGCTCTTGTGAACACGGTGATGTACCTTCGGGTTCCATAAAATGCTGGGAAATTCTTGAGTAGCTGCAGAATTGGCGGCTCCTCCAGAAGGGCTCAGCTCCATGAGTAAGTAAGTAAGTAAGTTGCACTGGATCGATGCCGGTAAAATCGAATACTGCTGACAACACTTTGTGATCGTAATACACTGAGCAATTCCAGACGTGAAACACAGGGAAGAACGGACGGACAGACACAGCCTCCTCCTGAAGTGTGAACTGTATGTACTTTGTGCAAAATAAAGTCTGTTTATTGGTATTAGCATGATAGAAATTATGCTGCGTCATTATAAGACAACACAGAAGCAATGGCTGAAATGAAAATAACACAGTGGCCCAGTCTTTCTCGAGCAGTTCATAGTTATTCAGCTGACTGTGAAATTCCTGTCGTTACGTAACAACAAGGTTCGTTGCCGTGAGGAAATAAACCTTTCCGTGAATACAGTCTATAGCTGCTTTTAAAGTTACCCTTCCAAGTCGTCTAACTGCTTCACGACCTTTCTCTCGTATGTACGTATTCAGCTACCAATATTTAATTTTTATAAATATAGGAATAGCTAAGTCGGTTTTGTGATCACGCTACGGACTGGATCATCGAGGAATTTTGGTTCTATTCTCGGTGGGGGCCAAGAGGTTTTTCTCTCCTCCACAGCGCCAGGACCAGCTTGGGGCCCTCCCAGCCTCATAACCGTTGAGTGCAGTGGGCTGTGTACTGGGGTGTGAAGCTAATAATTTGCCTGCATCCAGTGCGAGAATAGGAATGCGTGGAAATATAGGTCTTTATGTTGTGGTATTTAATTAATTATAGCGATATCTTCACATTTCCTTGTAGTCTAAATACGTGTATGTCGGGATATTTGCTGGACATCCGGGTTGTATGCCTTGTTCAGACACGTAGTTTACACAGTTCAGAATGGCGTTCGGTCTGAAACAGACTCCTATCCAAACTCAATCCCTATGAATGAACAATGTTCCCACAATGTTACATCCATAAATTTACTTGGACATCTCCTGATGGGAAGATACANGGTGGTAAGAGCGTGAAGCTCGACAATCACTATTATTTTGTTCAGAGTTTAAAAATGCATTCGTGAGGATAATTGAGGAGCTATTTCAAGGAAATAGCGGCTACGGTCTAGAAAACCGAGATTAACGACAGTGGGGATTCGTTGCGCTGACCACTTGACACCATCTTTCCGCTAAAGTTGGCACTAACTTCGGCGGCAAGCGGCGGTTGCTCGTTCGGTATAATTTGCTTGCGGACTACAGGCCACGGAGTTTGTTTTGTTTGTTTATGGGACTCAGCAACCCACTTCTCCAATCACAGCATCTTTAGACATCTTTAATAGGCAGTAGTTTGATAAGTTATAATAATGTAGTTTCGTGGTAGCATGCTCGCCAGTAACTACAAATTAAACGAGACGGATGGGCACTGCCCAGGCAATTTTTGTATAAAAATTTTTCTTTTCCAAAATAAGAAAAAATACGCATTAAACTGCACGGTATCATAACCCAGAAGAGTAAAATCTAAATTTTCAGCTTCACCTTCAATTAAACTTGCATGCATTTATAAACTATATTTGTAACAAAGGAGTATGTTTCTTGTTTCCAGGCCTTTCAACACGTTGGGTGCCCTTCAGAGGGCCAAAAAAGCCGTAGAGCGCCATTATGCCGTGGTCGGAGTGTTAGAGGACCTCAACTCTACCCTTACTGTGCTTGAAAACTACATTCCTCTCTTCTTCAAAGGAGCCACACAAGTTTACTGGGGTACGTAGGTGATTCCGGCACTCTCAAATGTCTCTTGTAGCCAGAACTGCGAGCCTGGTCTAGCAGAATCCTTCATTTCTTTCTAAGAGTCAGAACACTGAGAGATGTCCATGGCCTCGACTTTCACGCATTCACAGTGAGGAGATCTGAGGGAGGGAAAGTTTCCACCGACACTTCAAACAGTAAAACTACTATTCGTGATAAAAATGTACGGCCTTCCTTTCCTCATATCTACTGAGCCTCTATTCCTTCTTATCTTGCATAAACGTGACAGGTTCGTAACTGTTTTTAGCCTACTTTCCTTATTTTGAGAAAATGAAGGTAGGCGTATGGGATTTCCATGTTGTCTGTGTGTCTGTGTATCCCCTCCTATCAACTCTTGCATGGCTAAACAAATCTTTATGAAATTTGGCACAACTATCATGGCACCTGATCTCATCTCAATGGCGTACTTCATAAATTCCTTCCATTAGTCTGTGTTTCTGTATATGTATCCCTCCTATCGTTCCTAAGCAACGGCTCGGTAAAATCCCACTAATGTCGCTAGGCAACGGCTGTGTAAAGACATCACCGCGGCATAAAATACACACGCAATAATAGAAGAATTGTTGGACGCGTCGTTTTCTATGAGGTTGATGTCGTATCAAGGAAAGCAGACGATTAGTTCTTCCCAGAACTTGTTGCTAATATATAGATATAGCTGGAATATTGGGTTTTCATAAGACGTGAATGTAATCACGCAAGGAACATAAATTTAACTTCGAAATTTTTCTGGATATTGAATTCATTGCTTTGTAGAACTTTTGGCCGCTAGAGACTTAATTAGCACATTAAGCACATAAAACGGAACAAAACTAATCAACTGTGCACACATTTTAAGGCACTAATAAAAACCCAAAATTCAGTGCATTAAGTCGGGCCACCGCAGAATTTCGCGAGGATTTGGCCTCGCTATGCAGATGATTTTGGAGTGATACTTGCTGACATAACTTTCACACCAATTTTGTTGTTTCAAACAGACGAGGTAGATCGGTTCACAAGAATCAACAGGAATCTGTTCAAGCCACCGGTAAGCGAAGAAGTGAAAGACATTGTAAGGCAAAACTTCACACGGGAAGTGGAGTTCTATCAGTTCTGTCGGCAGCGCCTCCACCGGCAACTCTTGGCATTACGACTGCCAGCTACACACACCGGGGAATGAGTTCTGTCTGTAGTAGCACAGAGTAAAGTACTTTCTTCCTAGGTGGCAGCATCGCCGGTTGGAGATACGAAACAAGATCGGGGCAAATTGACTTTACTTCGTGGAAGCAATGTTATTACACCAATCTTCACGTCGCATCAGAGTTTGTTTTCTGGTAAACATGACTAAAATACTATGTACTCGTAAGCAAGCCCAAATAAGAGTTACAGTATCTTGCCCTGCAATTAACCTCAACAATAATCTTGAACATGTTGACTTCGTCTCCAATTATGCTATAATAAGAAAAGATGCACAAACACTCTTTTGACGTAAAGACTTAATGGCCAACAAAGCCCACAAAGATGAGCATCGGATCTACTAAACCCTATCATTAAATGTTTTAAACGGAAGGGCTTTTGTGCATTATTCAAACAAACAAACAAACAAAAAATAGGCCCAAGGACTTAAAGCCAATTTTCCAGCAATATTCATAACACGTTCTTAATATTAATGTAGAAAGGATAGTGCAAGCATGAAGAATATTTGACTTCAACACTTCTGCTTCTTACCTTGGGCACAGAACTCTCCTGGTAGTACATGTTTACTAAACAGCCTGGCAGGTTCCCTGTACTCCTTGCCATAAAAGCACCAGAATATACAAATGAAGTCTTACATGGTGAAAATATGTCAATTCAAGCACTAAAAATCCATTCCCATGGATATATATTAAAACTGCAACAAATGCTATAAATATGTGGATTCACATTATTATCCAGCTACTGTTGATTTATAAATCAACACTAAATTGATTACACCTTTCTGGAGCTACAACCTTTACTGTTCTAAAATAGTATATGATTAGTGCGGTCATAGACCCTCAACAGCTGCATAATTTGATAACAGAAGTCAACAGACAAATTCATGTTCCACTTCCATGACAATTCATTAGAGATGTTGTAAGAATTACAAGTCTATTTTCATATAATTTATTGTAACACAGTAATGAAGCATATTACAATGCTTCTGAATAATATATGAATTTTCACCCAAGTGCATCATCAAATAATGTCAAGTCTCCATAATACATATATCAATACACAATTACAGATTGTATCTGTAAGCTATGGCTGCATGTCTCAGTGCTGAATATGTGATTTTTACGATTAGGAGAGAGTATTTCACAGTATTATTCAAATAATATAGGTGTGTGTAGCTGAAAACTTCAAACTGCAGATTTAAACTTATCTGTATGTGATACTGAGATGGAAATCTTGAAGAAGAGGAGGGAGAAAGAATACTGAACATATAAAAAGCAACATACCTCCATCCCTACTCACTTTTTATGGCCCAGATAGCATCATACACTTCTTACACGAAATGTTTCTTGTGATATGTGTGTGGGAAGAGCAAATTAATTTCTTGGTCTTCATTTATGACTATGTGAATGTTTCTTGCATCTTGCCAGTCTGCCTCTGTCTGTTTCCATATGACACAATGCAACCATTACATAAGTAGCGAGTCACCAGGTGGTACAACAATTCCAACATTGTTCAGGATAAACATATTGAATTCAATATGTGAAACCAAAGAATGAAAACTTTACTTTCTTTTTCAAGAATTTTGTAATTTAAAGAATATACTGCTCTTTATATTTTGTTCCCATTTCCAAGTTTGGTCTTCCACTGGCCATTTGTCCTGTGCAGTTATAACTCCGCACTATATTCAGTCATCATTCTATTTTCAGCTTACAGATCCCAAGAGTATCATGCATTCCAGTATTTACTTTTTTGTTCAACTGTATTTATCCAGCTAAGGGCCTTAAATTTCTGTTTCCTTCCTTTTACTTAAATTTTTGTTTATCATCCCATATTTATCTCACACTCCCATACTTTACCATTGGTTCATTAACACTGTGTACAATTTCAAACACATTTTCTTAGTCACAGAAATAATTTAATTAATCTGTAAATTATTTTACATGGATAGCTCGTTTTTCTCCTTCAACAATTAAGTATCTTCAGGCCTGTATCAATCTCAAAATCCTCTTTCTAGTGCCCCATTGGTCTTCTTCTTTCTCTTCAGTGACCCCCTCTCCACCCATATATAAATATTTCTACCTCCTTCTATATGCATATGCTCATATTTCAGTGTTTCTTCTATGGTACAAGCTTGTGTTTATGTCGTGCTAACAGCCATAAAGTTCTTTGCTGAATTCCAAGAACAGAGTATTCAACTGCATGTGCTGGTATTCTTCTGGGGGACTTCAAATTTATGATTGGAGCTTATATGTGCACATGATTCAGAAATTTGAGCATGGACTAGCCACACATGTAGGTAACAGCTCACTTTCAAGCTAAATAATTTGTAATCACTGAAGAAGATCAGATACTGATTCAGTGGAAATTTCCATATTCCTATGTTACCAATGTCTATGTTTCTATGGAAACCATGGATAACATGCACAGGTATCTCAGTACTATTGTCTACCTTAATGAGAAGTTTGTATATGAAATTGTATTTAATATGTAAATATGTGTGTGTGTGTGTATGCAAGCATCAGTAAATTTGTGTGATGAATGAAATGAATGATGGATATTAATAATTTTGTATTATTTTGTTTCAATACAATAAAATATCTTCAGCTTTCAATACAGTTTCTTTTTATTTATATACTATTGTATTCAAGAGTTGGCAAATTGAGGCCTGGAACTTGTGGCCAGCCTGCATGAATGTCTAAAAGACATTTGGTAAGTTTAATTATAATATAAAAATATCTCATTTTCTTCAGTTCTTAGCACAGAGTATTTTAAATTGAATTATGAATATATCGTGTCTCTTCTATCAACTTTTCTGAAGGAAGAATGCAGATCGAGGGTGCTTGAGGAAAGAGCAGTATCCCACTTAGATAAGTAGAACCATAGATTGGGGCTTGACTGGTATGATTCTGGCTACTGCGGTTAGAGGAGAAATCGAATTATTGAAGCTAGAGTGATTATTATGCTGCCCCATTCAGGATTAATTTTGTAACAATGAATCCTCTTCATATGACATAACGGGCCATTTCAAGCAGACAATATGAGATTCAAAACCGCCACCTAACAACCATTCTCACAGTGGGATTCAAACGCACAGCCCTTGCGCTCGAGTAGTCCACTATGATCAGCAACTAATTAAGTGTAAGAATATGAAATTTTCCAGGATGTACTGAATTTCAAATAAATGCTTGTTTCTTCTGAGAGAGCTACTCTTAATTGAAACTTGTGTTGTTAATAAAAGTTCTCCTTGTCCTTAACTAGTTAAGCACTATATTACGGAGGTGTATGAGGAAGACGATGTACAGATCCACATTTTCTTGACCTCGGCACTAGCTGGAGGTGAGTGGTCAGCTTCACGCCCCGGACGCTTTACTCCCGGTATCCATTGGATATGAGGTCGGGTGGACCCCAGAGCCAGTCTGGACGACGCGGAGAAAAGGAAATTCTTGACTCTACCAGGACTCGAAATCCGAACCCTCGGTCGTCCAGTCTGTAGCCAGTAGCTATACCGACTGAGCCAATCCGGCTCCTTGTGTTGTTAATATCTGACAGTACAGTCAGCGCTTTGAGAATTTGTCTGCCTGTTTTTCATTCAAAGAAGTAACATATGAGGACAACTTGCCTGAAAGACGGCTAACAACACTTCAAAATATACGCTAACCTCGCACTTAGCCAGACACGTCGAAGGAGATAACTCGTAGCCCGCGTTTCGTGTTATTTGGCCTTCGAACTTGTATTGGTTCTCTTAAATCAAAGTGTTTACATCAGTCCTGTTTGTCGCCTCTTTTACTAAAATAAACTTGTTCACACATTTGTTATACATAATCTGCAGAGTCTGCAGTAACTATACATGTTCAGCAGGTACTGATTCGTGAATGAGTTATGCCCAGTGGCATAACTCTTATATATATATATATATATATTTTTTTTTTGTTCACACTATACTGTAACTTTGTGAAGTGAGCATTATTATATTCCTAATTCATTTCCGCACCTTGATGGGGACAGAATTGATTCAAACTAAGAAGCAATCTTATGGGAGACGTCATGACTTCAGTGTTGTGTCTTCTGATATAAAAATTGAACACTTATGACCTGATGAAATATGAACGATGCCAGTTATCGCAGCTGTGGCGAGCAGTGGAAGATTGCCCTACATAATAAATAGATCAATATTTTTCTTGTGATTAATTTAGTTGCAAAGGATATCAATTACAATTAATATAGTCAAATTTACTGAACAGAGGAGGATGAACTCGGGTGATGCTTACTACCATTCAGTCCAGAATCTTTTCTCTTCTCGTCTGTTGTCTAAAAACATAAAAATTAGAATTTACAAATTAATTAAATAATTTTCCTGGGGAGTAAAGGGCGGCCGGCGCGTAAGGCTGACAACCTTACCGCCATCTTTGAGCCGATTGTCTAGATAATGTGGGACCCTCAACGTCTCACAACCCTATGGGTCTTCACGGCCTGGTACAGGGATAGCTTTACTTTTTTACTTTTTTACTTTACTGTGGTTCTGTATAGGTGTGAGACCTTGTCTCTGACATTAAGGGAGGAACATAGACGGAGGGTGTTTGAGAACAGTGTGCTGAGGAGAATATTGGACCGAAGAAAGATGAAGCGACAGGAGGTCGGAGAAAACTGCATAATGAGGAGCTTCATAACTTGTACTCTTCTCCAAGTATAATTAGAATCATCAAGTCAAGGAGGGTGCGATGGGCAGGGCATGTAGCACGAATGGGGGAGAAGAAGAATGCATATAAGATATTGGTAGGAAAGCCAGTAGAAAAGAGACCACTAGGAAGACAAAGACGTAGGTGGGTGGACAATAAGATGAATATTATAGAGATAGATGGGGTGGTATGGATTAGATAGGGACCAGTGGAGGGCTCTTGTGAACACGATAATGAATCTTCGGGTTCCATAAAATTTTGGGAATTTCTTGAGTAGCTGCAGAGTTGGTAGCTTCACAAGAAGGGCTCAGCTCTGTGAGTGAGTGAGCATTGAAATGGGTACCAGAATTTATGATTAGACAAAATTAATTTTGGATATATTGCGGGCAGCGCATTGCTTCTGCACTAGGAGCTCCAACTGCTCTATTGAGCTCCTGAAGTGAAGGAGAATGAATCGCTGTTTCTATTGTTAGCATTACGTCCTCAAGTCGCGCAATTCTCTGCAAGCTCTTAATTTAATTGAGAGGCAAGTTGAATATGAAATGTAAAGGGCACAAGGTGTAGATGCGAATCTCAGGAGGCGAGAAAAAGAAGTTGACAAGACAGACAAAAAGTGAATATCTGTTGCAGCAGAGGTGGGCGAATATAGGAATGCTGCAATGACAGGAAGCATATTAACCAGTTACTAATTGCAGTTAAGTACAGAAAGTCATGTGAAGCTCATCACGACATTGAAGGCTAACTCGCCGACATACCGTTACGTTTCTAATTAACTGTCGTCAATAATACTAACATGGCTGCAGCCATGCGCTCTCCTCTGAAGTCGAATCAACATTAACTTCAAGTAATGTGGGGTCCAGAAATGTGAAGGCAGAATGTGGCTGAGGCAGATAGTCTGTATTTAGCTTTCAGCCTGATGCCAGTCTAACGAAACTTCGCAAATTGGCACGTGGAACTTCTATGAATATGTCTCATATCCTATACATGGGCCTAATTATAACTGGTGAAATAGAAGCACAGCGTAAGAAGTTTTGGGAGTTCCTTCTTAATTGCGTCTAGATTTTCGATCTATGAATACTAAATTTTGATGTCCCGACAAAGAACGCAAACTGGATGGTTCTTACCAGCGGACAGTCACAAGGACGGACGGGCATAATATATATTTTTTTAATTATCTCGAAAGCCACAAGACTAACGTAAAAGTGAACTAGACATAAAATTGGCTTCTGAATTATTGTCTATAATTTTATTAGAAATATTTTTGCTTCAATTAATATTTAGCGATTTACCTTCGAGATTCAAGCAGAAACGCGCGTCCCCATGTGAGGTGTCTCTTAATGTTGTCTACTTACAACCAAAAATTGGAATGTATTGTAATGGACTTGATCAAAGCATTGCTAGGCAACGGCTCTGTAAACATGTTCCAACACATGCGACACGCAATAACACGGTGGAAGTGTTTTATATGTGGTTCGCGCCACTCAAAAATGAGTGCTGTGTTTTCTGCATGGTCCGTGCCGCATCAATATGACGGGAATATATTTGCAGCTGAGATTAAAACCCATGTGGAGGCGGGGTCGAATACCTCCACCGTGACCCTGTGAGTCTTAGGAGGCGATGAAAAGGGAAGTCTGAAATCTGAGACAGCAAAATATGGTAGCGAGACCCAAGAGACTCGGACCGGAGAAAGACTGCGCTGCCAAGGGCCAGCAGCATGTACAAATGACAGCCCCGTCCCCTCGTCAGGGAGTGCGTCCCACAAAAAGAAGACCGTAACTGTCAAACAGTAATAAATATCTGGCCATGAGCCCCAACTTACTGACTGACTAACAGTTAGTCGCAATGTGACCTTGACTTTTAGTTGAGGTTAAATTAGTTGAGTATAGATTGGTACTAGTCGAGACTGGAGAGACTGGAGATAGAATTGGAGAATTGTGTCGAGTTCTGGAAAATCGGCAGTTCAAAGTGCATGAACAAGAAATGACCAGAGGACTTCATTATGATTTGAAGTGCTAGTTTCTGTGTTGGGATCCGTTGCTAGGAAACGACTAGTGGAAAATAAGAATCTTAGTAAGATTTGAGGCTTTCACGGCGGTGACTATGAAGAAAGCAGTCTTCTGGGATTTGGCACCGTGTATATGTGGTGTTAACCGACGTTTCGGAGGAACGGTAAAGCAGACCGAGCAGTCTGCTTTACCGTTTCTCACGGTGTTGTCGCTTGCAGATTTCTTATACTTTTTCTTCTACCCTGAAGATGGGGGCGATACGTTCCTCCGAAACGTCGGTTAACACCACATATACACGGTGCCAAATCCCAGAAGACTGCTTTCTTCAAGAATCTTAGTGTATGTGCAACGGTGAAATGAAAAGTGTGTAAATCAGTGATAGCGCTGTATTGATTGTCCATCATGTTGTTATATTAAGGAGTACAGAAATGGTGAAATTATTCGGAGTATTTTCGGAAGTTTTCGTTGCGAACGCGTAAAATATTACAAACATGGCGGAGGAGGGAATTACAATGTATATGCGTAGTGGCCGACATCTTGAAGGTAGTGGAAAACTATATCGACTGAAATTATGCTAAAAATTATATCATTAAATTTTAATTCCTGCTTGATCCTCCATTTTTGTTTCAGTATTGCAAAGATTGTAGGCGTTAACATTCCTGACTAATCCTTGCAACAATGAATGGAACTCTATTCCGTATTATTGAAGGCCCGAGTTAACAGTTTATGGCCCATACCGAGAACTCCATGTTGCTATTTTTAAAACCGTACGCATCCAGGCGTTGAAG